TATGTACTAATACAAGTGAGCCTCTACACCAACCTCGTATTCTTCCTTGTGAATTGAGCATCACCATGGGTAGATAATTACTAGTTCCAACATTGTTATTTGTAAGTTGTAATGTTGTAGCTTCAAATTATCTTGTCATGAACCAATTGATTCTGAAAGCACGCACCTCACTTTGGCTTATTCACGCATTATTGATTTTTAATGCTATTTTTAATCGAATTAGGGCTTGCGCGCTTCAGTTGGGGTTATTGGTTGTTTTTAAACGAATTGGGGCGTGCACGTCCCAATTTGCTTCTATAGACAGTAGATTTGGAAATATTTTCACAAATGCAGAATTTTGGATAGGGTAAATGCTACATTTGGTCACTGAGATTACTATATCATGTCATGTTTAGTCACTAGAAAAAATTAATATCAATTTTGGTTACTCGAATTACTGAAACATGTCACATTTAGTCACTCTCCCGTTATTTTCCGTCCAGCTATGGTTACTCGAATTATTATTTTTATGAATGTCACTCGAATTACTGAAACATGTCACATAACACGATTTTAGTGACCAAGTGTGGCATTTACCCATTTTGGATAATATTTTTTAAAAATACAATATTTTAGGGAAAAACAACCTTATTTGCCGGCTAGTACAAAAACGGGCTAATACCACTGGGAAACCCGAACTATTCACTTTGTGTCATTTATATCATAAAGTATTCGATATGACATTTGTGTCCTAAACTATTTGTCCGTTAGAGTTGACTAGCGTTGACCGTTAGTTTTTAACTGAAAATCTAGTCAGCGCTGATGTGGCATCTGACGTGGAATTTTATTTTTTATTTTAATCATAAAAAATTAAAAATAACAAAAAGAAATTAAAAAATTAAAAAGGCACCGATGGGAGCCTTTAACTCCATCTTCCTCGCAGCACTTCAAACACAATCGCCGCCTGGATTCAACGCCGTGATTCAAGTTTCAACACCGGGAATCTCTTGATACTAGGGAAGAAGTGTTTGTAAATCGAACGCCGACTCCCTGCTGAGGAGGGATTCCGTCGGCTCCCTACTGCGACGGAGGATTGAGGTCGAGGATTGGATCTTCGCCGCCGCGACGTCGGAACCCGAATTTAGGGCTTCTTCTAATCATCGATAATCAACTGGGCATAAGAAGATGAGTGCGGAACGATGCTGGGTTTGCCGATTTTCCCATCGTCTTCGTCTTCCTCGACCTCGAATTCGACAATTTCGTTCTCCTCTATTTCGAATTCCAACACTCCTTCGACGCCGTCCACTCCTTCCTCGCCTTCCCCTTTCCTCAGCTCGAGACCCAGCGCGCTGAGAATCTCCAGCGCCGGTGGTTGTGGGGTGTTCGACAATGGGTCGTCCCCTTCGACTGCTTCTTCCAGCCCTTCGCTTTCCTACGCCAATGTCGTCAATGGAGGGAGGAACGGTAATGGGAATGGGTATAATTATGTGGGGAATGGTAATGGGAACGGGAGTAGTAATGCTGACCAAGTGTTCGATCCAAGGCCTGATTGGGGGTGTGGTGGCCGGGAGGAAGAAGAAGATTCGGGAGCGAAGAGGAAAAAACAGAGAAGCTGGCGGAGGGAGGAGGAGCAGCTGGGCTGGAGAAGGAGTAGGCCTTGGCAGCGGGGAGGTGAGGAGCAACGAGTTAGGTCTCGGCGGCGGAGAGTTTTTATTTTGTTTTTATTATGTTTGTTTTTAATTTTAGTTTTATTTAATTTTTAATTTAAAATATGAGGTGTCAGTGACGTGGCAGCCATATTTTTGCCACGTCAGCAAAAGTCAATATCAACTTGACCACCGTCCGGTCAACCGTTATCTATAACGGTCAACGAAATCATTAGGACATAAATGACACAAAACTACAATAGGTTGGGACACAAATGTCATATCGGATACTTTATGACACAAATAACAAAAAGTTAATAGTTCGGGTTTCCTAGTGGTATTAGCCCTAAAAAAACCAAGCTAAAAGCATCTCCCACAAAACCGAATAAATGCCCCGCCTAAGCCTCTTCAATTATCAGGCCCCCTAGGTTTGACCTTTGTTACATCCCCATATCCTTTGACCATCTTGCTGCCCCTTTTAATATTTTCTTTTCTGGTTAATTATTGTTGTGGTGCAAGTTGTTGAGTCGTTTTGAACAATGGAAAATGGTAACAAACCGTGTGGACCTCTAGATTCATCATGTGCTTCCCCTACCTCTCTCTGTCATCCAGCACATTCATTATTGTTTTTTACTATTTGCCATAAACTCTCGCCATGATTAATTCAATAATTAACCACACATATCTCACATTTTGGAGAATCTCAAGTCTGAACATGCTTCCCCAGATTCAATTCCGGCACCTCGAGAAAATGCTTGTTTTGAGATAATATTTTGAATTAACAACTGATTTAGGCAATGAGAATTAGTTTGTTATGTTGTGCTAGTGTCTCTAATTGTTCGAAATCGTAAAATTTCCATACTAATAGATGACAAAAGCATATGACCGGTACAAACTTTTGTTCCAAAAATTAATTTTTATTTTAAATAAAGATAATTTAGAACTAAAGTATAAAATACGAGGGTGGCTCTCGAGAGATTGGTAAGTATGTTTACGTACAGGGGAGGCGAATGTAGTTGCAGGCCACCTATCCAATTTAGGACATTCGTTTTTCGTTAATTTTCGTAGATTAGTCATGCCTGATAGAGTGATAGTACGTTGGTGTATTAGTTGTACCTAGGGCTGCAAATGAGCCGAGCTGCTCGCGAGCGGCTCGGCGTTCGACTCGAGAAAAGCTCGTTCGAAACTCGACTCGTTAATAAACGAGCCGAACACGAGCTCACCTTTGTTCAGCTCGTGAAGCTCGCGAGCTAGCTCGACTCGGTGGGTTGTTGAGCTAAACTCGTGAGCTGGCTCGTTTAGAGCTCATGATACGTCTTAACATGTGGCTAGAGAGCCAACTCGATTACCAACTTATGGACGAATCAATCTATATCTTATGATTTTAATTCATATGGTTGTTAAATTATATATCTCACTATATATAAAGTTTAACACGTTGAGTATGTGAGCAAATATATCTTATTTTCTACTTTAATTGCTTCGATACTAAGAAATAACATGATTTGGCGTAGTTAAAATTTGTGAACGGCTATTTGCCGCCAACCAAATTGCTATTTGCCGCCAACCAAAAAAAAAAAAAAAAAAATTTAAAATTTTGAATTCAAATTTTGAATTCTCCCTTCCTTCCCTTCCTTCCCTTCCTATAAATTCGAATACCATAACATTACCTCATTCCAACAAAACACTTTTGTCGACGAGCCCAGTGCCTCCGTCGCCGGCACAGTTCCTCCGTCGCCGGTCAACTTCCCGCCGTCCTCAATCGTCGGAAAAAAAAGTAAGTTTACTTTTTCCGGCAAGTTTTTCTGTTTTTCCGGCGATTTTTCCAGTTTTCCGGCGAAAAACACGGTGGGCCGAAAGAATTTGGCGGCCGGAACGTGGCCGGGCCGAAAAAAAATTTCGGCCGGCGCGACGCCCAGCCGAAAAAGTCTTTCGGCCCGGCGACGTTCCGGCCGCAAATTTTTTTCGGCCGGTCGCCGAACGCGCCGCGGAAAAGTTTTCCGGCGGCGCGTTCGGCGACCGGCCGAAAAAAATTTGCGGCCGGGACGTGGCCGGGCTGAAAGACTTTTTCGGCTGGGCGTCGCGCCGGCCGAAAAAATATTTCGGCCCAGCCACGTCCCGGCCGCAAGATCGTTTCGGCCCGGCCACGTCCCGGTCGCAGGATTTTTTCGGCCCGGCGGCGCGCCGGCCGCAATTTTTTTTCGGCCCGGCGGCGCGCCGGCCGCAATTTTTTTTCGGCCCGGCGAGTTTTTTAATTTAATTTAATTTAATATGTTAATTAATTAGTCAATAAAAGTTACTTAATTAGTTAATTTCGATTAACTACTTAATTAAATGTTTTTTTAATTACTTAGATTGGTTAATAGAAAATTAAATAATTAAGAATTGTTTAATAATTAATGTTAATAGTACATTAGTTAATAGACTTGCAGTTAATTAGTGATTAATTAACAATTAATGTTAATATTACCGAAGTTAATAGAAATTTAATTAATTAGTGCGCATCTAAGTATGATATTGATTAATTAGTGATTAATTAACAATTAATTAGTTAATCGAAATTTAATTAATTAGTGCGCATCTAAGTATGATATTGTGTAAATTTGTAGATAATTAGATATGGATGATGCGGGTGGGAGTGAGTTGCATAGATTCGATGGTAGGGTTGTTGATGCATCAACACGAAGGAAGGTGCCTAAGAAGAATAAGGAGAAGAAGCGCTCTCGAGATATTGGACATCAGTCAGAGGCTCCTACTTTAGTTGCTCGTTCGTCATCACGGGCGTCTGGTTCCCATGGGGGGAACCAGGGTGCTGCATCGAGAGTGGTCTCGGCTGAGTTTGATGAGGACGATAGAGATGAGGACGATAATGATGAGGATATCGATGTCCCTCCACCTACGCATGGACATGGACGAGTGCAGGATCGTACGGCAACATCACGTCCTGCTATGTATAGGGACCGAGCTGGGCGATTCGTACCACCTGCTCGTCAGGAGACAGAGAGCTCGGGGACTGGACGGAGTAGGGGAGGACGTTTGAGTGGTCCTCCACCGTGGGAGCTTGTTGGTGAGTGTCCTGGTGGACCTACGGATCCTAGCCTCATTAGGAGCTTCCGTGGCCACGCTTCCTACGCACTTTGGACGGGGCTTGGAGATCGAGGGGTCATCAGTTGCTACACCCGTACAGGGGCGGTTGACTATCTTGGGAACTACGTGTTTAGTCATGTTGAGGCGGAGGATCTGGTTCAGCAGTCAGGTCTCCAGCACCTGATCTACTCTATGTTCCGCAGGATAGCGATTGACGAGGCTTTGATCTCAGCTTTTGTGGAGAGGTGGCAGCCAGACACGAACACTTTCCACTTGCCTTTTGGAGAGATGACGATCCTCCTCCACGATGTTCAGTACTTACTGCAGATTCCTGTTGAGGGACGACTGATGAGTAGGACTTCTGAGCAGCTTGACCATCCGGAGGTGGGTTTGTGTGCGCTTCTTGGGATGAACTCGGAGCAGTTGAGTGGTCAACCATTTTTATGTTCTTCTGTGTCCAGACCCTCTCAAACTGATTAATCTTTTGAAGAAAACCCTCCTGAGTCCAACTCCATGCAGCTTTGTCGAAATATTTCTTCCATACCGCTTCTGCTACCTCTCTTCTTGAAATTCCACCCAGTAATTGCTCAAACTTTTGCTTCACACAGTTGTTGACGTGCCATAAACATAGTAGGTGGACAGTATGTGGGAGAGGGAAGACCAGGGGCATAGAAGCAAGCAGACCACCTTCTTTGTCTGTCACAATGACATTCGGAACCGTATCACCGAGCAACCCTTTAATACATCGCAGCACCCACTCATATGTTTCCTTTGTTTCCTGCTTAATAAGTGCACATGCAATGTTGAAATTCTTCTTGACTGGAGTAACCCCAATAATCTCAACCCATGGCCAGCCATACCTATTCGTCTTGTAGGTCGAGTCAATGATGATGACGTACGGCCATGCATGCAACATCTGAATGGACGTCGGGTGCGCAAAAAACAGATTAGTGAGCACATTATTAGAGTCCTTTTGCAAACAGATATGGTACCCACGTTGTTCAGCTCCATGAAGCGCAAACTTTATCGCATCCATTTCACCCATCTCATCCAATCTGTTCTTGTAATTTCTGTTGTACATCTGTTTGATATCATGACACACACCCCCTTCAGTATTGAGTGTCGTCTTCTGCTGATTTGGTCTCACCCCCGCCTTCCTCATTAATCTTAACCTCTCTTTTTCAGCCTCACTAAACTGTTTGTTGTGTCGGTGATGTTCTGGATACAACACCTTTTCATGGTTGTGAAACCCTCTATTAGCTCCGGTTGCACGACTTGTCACTCCCACTAGGACCCATGTGTTTGGACGATCCTTTTGCCATACTTCCTTAATACATATCTGAAACTGGCAACCAATACCCTTCGAACTAGTATTCCCACGCGTCTCCTTCGTAGGGTCTGGTTTATAAGATTTAACGATCCTACTGCTTCTGTCGCAATACATACAGAGGGCAGTAACAGGATGTAGTCCAGAAGTATTCGGTTTCCATGCTCCTCTAACAATAAAGAACCCGTTCTCCTGAGCGATTGCTATTGCAGCTAACTCAGCTAACTCCACACTTGCATAATGGATCCCATTCTCAAATTCTGCTGTGTAATCATGATCGGCCGGTAACCACTCTGACATTTTTCCTACAATTACAATATAACACATCAATATTCTTGTGAACCTAAACGCTAATTTCAACTCTTAACCGCTAAATTCAACTCCTAAACGCTAAATTCAACTCCTAAACTCTAAATTCAACTCCTAAACTCTAAATTCAACTCCTAAAATCTAAATTCAACTCCTAAAATCGAATTTTTCCGACAATTTGCAACGAACAGGGTGGGCCGAAAATTTCCGGCGGCCGGAACCTGGCCGGGCCGAAAACTTCCGGCGGCCGGAACCTGGCCGGGCCGAAAACTTCCGGCGGCCGGAACCTGGCCGGGCCGAAAATTTTCGGCGGCCGGAACCTGGCCGGGCCGAAGGAAAAAGGTGGCCGGAGCCTGGCCGGGCCGAAAATATTTTTCGGCTCGGCCAGGCTCCGGCCACCTTTTTCCGTCGGCCCGGCCAGGTTCCGGCCGCCGAAAATTTTCGGCCCGGCCAGGTTCCGGCCGCCGGAAAATTTCGGCCCACCCTCTGTTCGTTAAAAATCGTCGGAAAAATTGTTCGAAACTAAAAAAAAATTGACGCACCTGCTTAGTGATGATTCATGGATGCGTGACCGCAGTTTACGTCGAGGATGGGCTTTCCCGATGGTTTTCCGGCGACTTTTCCGGCGAGCGTCGATTTTTTCTGATTCAATACGTTTTCTGAAACTTGAAAATGTTGTAGATTGTGAAAAAACTTAACCAAAGATGTACATATATACTTTCTTTTTTTTTTTTTTTTTTTTTTAGTTGGCGGCAAATAGCAATTTGTTTGGCGGCAAATAGCAAGCCCCTAAAATTTATTAGCTAAATGATATATGATACCAACAAAGTATAATATGAGATTAGCTAATAAAATAAATCATATGTATCATGATATACAAAGTGAAGTACCAATTAAAAGTTAAGATTTTAATAAACAAGCTAGCTCGAACTCGACTCGACTCGTTAATAAACGAGCTGAGCTCGAACTCGACTCGTTTATTAACGAGCCGAGCCCCAGCTGAGGTAAAACTCGACTCGGTTCGGCTCATTTGCAGCCCTAATTGTAACACGACTTTATTATAGGTACCAAATATCCCATTTGGTTACTGAATAAAGGTTGGAGCCCTTTAAATGATACGTCATCTAAAAAAAACTTAATTCAATCACTCATTGGCAAATATGTGTAGGGCAGCAGCACCACCTAATCCGCTGCTAATCATGGCAGCTAAACCGCGGTTTTGTATCATGACGGAAAAAATGAAGCCACCATACGAAACAACAAAATAATGTCCCACGTGTTTAGTTTCACACACAGTTTCCCTGCTTTGTGTGTTTATGCATTTGAATTTTCACCGACAGGCGTCTCTACAAACATTATAACTGTCAAAGCAATTGACAAATGATAAATTATAGAATACATGGTTTTTCGCAATACAATAATCACGGAGATAATAGCAATTAAAAATGCTCGTAAGTTGGATTTAAAATGTCCTGTCTATCGCTCACATTCGTTGTATTATATAGGCGACACAACCACCACTCTTCTTTTGTGCAGTATATGACAAGAGTTAAATCAAGATGCATGATACCTAACCTAGGTATCCAAGGAAGCAACAGCCATGCCCTATAGCTCTGTGTAAAGATCTAATAACACTGTTACTCTGTTAGGCGTTTTGCATGGAAAATTTAATCGGTAGGAAATCCTCATTTCGGGGATAATCGACTAACATGCGATAATTACATTTTTGTATTATCTAACTCAGTCACTCTATTGGTCTCACTTAGGGCTGTCAGTCGGTCGGTTTCGGTTTAACCGAAAACCGAAAAGTCGGTTTTCGGTTAAACCGAGCGACCCTTTAGCACTACCGACCACCGACCGACGCGTTTCACACGGTCACCGCCTAACCGACCGGTCGGTTATCGGTTAAAACCACGGTTAGCCGAATTGAATACCAAAAAAAAAATTTGAAGAAAAGTTGGCCACCACACATTCAGACCCACCTTATCTTCTTCTTCTTCTCTCCTCACCCAAAAGGAGGAAAAGAACCACCGAAGTCTTTTCTTCTCCCCTCTCTCTCCTTTGCCTCCTAACCCTCCATCTCCAAGACCTTTCTTCTCTCCTCTCTCACTTTCCTTCCTCCGATCCTCGATGCTTGGGGTTATGGGTTTTATATGTAATTTTTTTTGCAGGGAGGGCAATATATGAGGGGTTGTCGGTTTGGTTCGGTTTTTTCGGATAACCGCGGTTAGTAATGGTCGGTTACTCGGTTATCCGAAGCTTTGTTATTCCCTCCGTCCACCGACCGAAGTAATTTTAGCCTCGGTTTTCGGTTAGCCGAAAACCGGTCGGTTCGGTTGTAACCGCCGGTTATCCGCTAACCGGAAACCGAACTGCCAGCCCTAGTCTCACTCACGCTCACACCATATGAACCTATATTTATCAACCACATCGAATCCCACTTGAAACCATGGCTGGAAGTTTGGTACTGGTATTTGAGATATACCGAATACCATACCGAATTTGTTTATATTTTGTATTACCGAATACACGAATTATTTTTTGAGATTGGGATTGGGATTGAATTTTATTTGTTATTCGGTATTAGGGATTACGGGATTGGGATAAGTATACACCGAAATACCAATCAATACCGAAATATAAGCTAGTGTGTATTTTATCCTCTCAACTAGACTCTCTCATTCACTACTACACGATCTTCAACCACCAAAAGTGTCATTTAATTATACATAGATCATTCCACCACTATTAATAGTCGTCTGTCAACCTCCAATTCGTCAAATTAAAGATTACTAATGACGAGAACTTGAGATGTCTCATCTTCTCCATTCTCCTTAATAATATCCTAATTCAAGACTCTTTGCTTAGTCTTTTTTCCCTAAATTAAATAATAAAATCTAATTTATGTATTTAATTATTAATTATAAAGATAATTAATTTCTTATTCGATAATACCGATTGGGATACTGAAGTATCGATTGGGATACCGGTATATTTAGGGATTGGAATTGGGATACCGAAATTATTTAGAGATTGAGATTGAGATTGACTTTAGGGTGTAATTCGATATTCGGGATTTTGATATTTGGTATTGAGATACCGATATCGTACCAATTTCTACCCTACTTGAAATAATGATAAAGCCCTATAGCTAGTCTTTCATTAATTACGGAAAAGTCTTCACGAGTGAAAAAATTATGAAAGGCGGGAAGTTGCATTTGCATGCAGTTCAAGTTGAAAGAAAATTTGGGCCCGAAGGAGACAAAGTAAACCATCGAAAGTGAAAAGTGGGAGTGGGCCGGCCCGCTGAATGATAAAACTCTGAATCACATGCACGTTCTGTTCGTCGCGTCCAAAACAAAACATCGATTCGATGGTCCATTAAATTTAAATTACAGCGGGAAAATTCTATATACAAGAAATTACAGCTGGAGAATTCTATTAAAAAGAGTACACTGTAGAAATTAATATAAAAAAGACAGAAACCTCTATTTTCAGGACCGAAGGCTGAATCAGAAAAGTTAGTGGTTTAGAGTTCAGTGGTTAACCGTTACAAAATCGTTGGTGAACCGTTGGTAGAACCGTTCATGATATATAACATCTAAAACTTGTATATTACACTAATTTAAGAATGAAGTTATCATTAACCATAAACAATTTCAAATTCATATCAGCACCAAAACATCTAATAAACATTCAAACTATCTCACAAAAGAAATCAAATTTTTTTACTTCAAATTAATATTTACGGTGCCAGTCGAGTAGTCGATAACAAGGTTGGAAAATGAGAAGAGAAAGCATATATAAATTAATAATTATTGTTTGATGTCTTAGTTTGAGTTAAAAGTTTTTTTTTTAAAATAGTGAATTAGTGGACCAATTAAACCTTGAGGTTCATGTGATTTTATATTGAACCATGAAAAATCCTTTGTTCTGTCAATAATTGTCCAAACAATGAATCGGATCGGTATCGTAACTGCTTTGACGATTCTATTGACCAAGCTGTTCATCGGTTCAGTTCTTATAAGAAACTCTATTTTTCCTCTCCATTGCCATTCAAGTTTCCAACATCCCAAAAGGCCCCATGTGAAGGAGGGAGACAACACTACCCACTCCGGCACTCACCCTTCCACCACCGAACACAGTGGGCATAACATGACACATGACTTCTCAAAACACTTCTTGATTAGTTTTGGAAGATCGGATCACTTCTAGGTAGATGCTTAGATTCATGAACTGGTGTATTCTATTAATGGATTCATGAATTGAATGGATTGGTGGAAATTGAATTGTAAAAATATTTAGGTAAAAAATATAATTTCCCAATTATATTATACATTAAAAATAAATTTTATTTAATTGTAATGTACCAAATATCAATCAACCCACCAATTTATTTGGATTTAAATGGATTTTGATTAATTTGATATTTTAGTGGATGGGTTGAATACAAAATTGTCACCTATATTTTAGGTGTTTATCCATTATCATTAACTAACTAGAATTGTGGTTATGTGACATTACTTAAAAACGAGTTGCAATGAAGGATCTCATACCCAAATGTGATTATATAAGTAACACACGAAGAAACCGAAAAAAGATTCAATTAAATGTATATATAGAACTTCGTGTGATATACAAGTTAATATGATGGTTACAACATTGAAGTTATTACTATAGTATAGACTTGTAAATGCTATCTGTTTTGATAATTCTCTCCCGAGTCACAACACTAGATATCCTATAATCCAATGCCATTTTAAACTTAAAAAAATGTTCAAATAAACATATATAACTTTAAAACATTCTACGTCACAAGATAATACTTTCTATCTACGGTTTTCTCCTCCATTTTCGTAAACGAAATAAATATGTGATGAACAAATGATATTTGACCAAAATCTCATTCCCATTCAATCAACGTTGTAGTAATATCGCTTTCATCTTTCCGCTTATATTTACCAAACATTAAGAACTAAAAGATGAATTCGCATCATTCCGACAGAATCTAAAATAATGAACCAAAGGGAAAACTTCGAATTTGGGAAGAAATACCTCCTTTTTTTCCAATTTTAATTTCTTATGGACAATTCCTATAAAAAAATTTCTTGGAACAATTTTGTTAAAGCAACAAAAGAAATTCCAAATGTGGAGTATAAGCTCTCATGCTAATATGCGGCGAGGGAGGGTCCCATCACCGACACTCTTTTCCCTCTATTTTCTAATTTCCCTTCACCCTCCATATTACCTTTTCCCACGTAATAATAATAATAATAAATAAATAAATAAAAGCTACGAGAAATTTCCCTCTCTTTTCCGCAGTACAGGCACACATCCCCTCCGGTAGTCTGTAGCGCACTTAAATACAGCGCCATCCCCGGCCTCCATCTTCTCCACTTCTCCTCTCATTTTCTCGCCCCAAAATCCCAATATCCAAACAGAAAAATCCCCGGAAGAAATCCAGCCTCTCGCACTGTGTATCGCTTGGTTCCCTCACCAAGCGAAAATGGCGCGGAAATCAGCTCGATCTCCGCTCCTCCTCATAGCTGCGGTGTCCCTCCTCGCCATCGTCGGTGCCGAGTCTCCCTACCGCTTCTTCGATTGGAACGTAACCTATGGCGACATTTACCCGCTCGGCGTCCGCCAACGAGTGCGTAGAATATCGTTATTAAAAAATGTCTTACTCCGATCTTGAACTTGCTCTCACGTGT